GGTTGTCTCAATCAAACAGATCGATGCTCAAAAACTTCTGAGAGTTTGGTATCCAATATTTACTGTAACTAGACAAGATGGGCAAATCTGGAGGTTCAGTGAAGCTGATTTCCCAAATTTATATTTGGAAGACTTGGAATATATGTACTACAAGATCAGAAATATGACCAATAGGAAAGATGGAGCTCTGGTTGTTCTTGATGCAATTAAAAGATATATGCGGTGTCATGTAAAGTTGGCTCTGATTATAGATGTTCAGATGGGTCTTGAAGATAATCAAAGAATCATCAATCTGAAGAGACCTGACCAATACTTAGAAGATATTGATGCTTATCCAGTCTACATGATCCTTGAAAAACCAGAGTTCGGAGTCATATACTTTGTTGAGCATCAAGTGAAGAAGTTTATGAGATTTGGCGAGCTAAACAAGTATTCAGATGGTACGATAAAACTGGTAAGACAGGCACTTGACTTGAAGAGGGTGAACAATAGCTGCGAAGTCAGAGAGAATGAGCTCTAAAGATAGATATTTGTTGATCAATGCCATAAATCTGCTCGAGAAGAAGATTCAATATAGGAACGCTCTAAGAAGGTTGGAGAAACTTCTCGGACTCAGAAATACAAGATTTACAAGACTTCGAACTTGAATCCAAAGGGGGAGAATGTTGGGTTTAAGTATGTGCGTTATTGTTGTATTCAAGTTCTCCATATTTTACATGCTTTGTAATAGTGTAGCTTTATTCTTTCCTTAGTATAAATAGTTGTTTCCTTTGTAATTGTAATTAGCAAGTTATTACTATTCTGTAATATGAAATTAGCATTGTAATATCTCTCTCAATCAATCAAGATACATTTGGTGATCTACTCTCTCTTCAACTTATTTCTTGAAGATCATAATCATGTTTGTATGAAATTTGGGAATTTCAGTCTGGTTTACAATGACATGATCTTTAAGATCTTCTAAAGATCTTATTTGATCTTAGTCAATTCTTTGATCTTGGAATGACAAATCTTCAATTGTTCTTGAAGATCAAGATTAAGCATTTCAGCTTTAGATTTGCCATTCAGGGCATTGTAAAGGTCAACCATCAACGTGGAGAGATCATGAGAGGTTGATGTCTCATAAGTTTCTTCCTTGACATCCTTGGCCATTAAGAAAAGATAGGTCGTGTCTTTCTCATCAGAGGATGATTCATCAGACGAATTAGCCCAGTCATGCTCTTCAGCGACAAGGCATTTGGCCTTGCGCTGGGAACTCTTCATCTTCATATATTTCTCCTTCAGCTTCAGATATTTATCATCTTTAGTTTTGAAGGAGGATTGGGTTTTCGAAGATGGCATCACAGTCTTCACTCACCTGGAAAGTGACCTTTACGGTGACAGTTGTAGCAGACCACTGAAGCCTTGTCAGCAGTACTTTGGCTTTTCCTTAATGGTCAGCGTGGGAGATCTGCGAAAATTACTTTTCCTGGCGAACCTTCAAAACGAATTAGTTAGAAGCATCAGTGATTCATCAAAGTCTGCAAGGTCAGACTCTGACAAATCCTTAGAGTTAGTAGAATCTAACTCCGTTATGGAAACAGAAGAAGGAAGAATAGAAGAAGAAGAAGAAGAAGAAGAAGAAGACATCTGGCAAATGCAATTCCTGGATGTAGTTGGATGTGATTATCGGTGAAAGCATGGAAGGATCTCCTGTCAATTCCCTAACTAGAACGAGAGAGAGCCGATGCAAAAACCTTTTATCGGTCGATAGAAGGGCCCTAAAAGATAGGTCAAATAAGATATGTCCTCCATCATGATCTCGCATGAAACTATCCATGTAATCGTGCGCCGTGTGAAATACATCAATTAATCTCTCCATTTTCTGTGAAAAGGGGGGGGGAAGCGCAAATTGCTCTTCGATCTCCCGGTGAGTTGGACGGGAAGAGACATAGGGGGAGATAAAATAGGGGCTCTAAAATGCCTTTCCCCTTGGGTTACCCTCGAGGAACTGTTTGGCGGTCCGGTTTCTCGCACTCCTGGAGGATGGTCGCGGTGGAGTAGCTATCCCTGCGCAATTCTTCTGAATTTCTAATAGTATTAAAGATTCTCTGTTTTCGATTATCTAATAAATCACTGAAGAAGAAGAAGAAGAAGAAGAAGAAGAAGAAACTTCAGAGATCAAAGCTAGCGGAGAGTTTTTCATATCTCTAGAATCCTTGATTAGATTCCTCTTCAGTTGTCGAGACTAATCGTGATTGAGCAGTATCCCATATAAAGAGCTAAGAGAGAGGTAGGACATGTCGTTGGACATCTTGAAACACATAAAATATGTATCCCAGGATTCTGGTAAACATTCCATAAACTTCATCAAAGTTTCAGAGTAGGAATATTCTATGCTAACTATCCTCAAATCAATTAGAAGACAATTAAACCTTTGATGTACTTCAAACAACATTTAGTCTTTCCATAGAGAAAGCTTTCATATTGTCTTACTAAAAGTTTATCTTCCTCGATTCATGTACCTAAAAGGTACCTTCATATTGAAAACAGAGAGTGTCCCACATGGTTTTCGAAGTCGTAAGCTTCATCACAGAGTGATAGACATCGTCAGGAAGAGACATAGCTATTATAGATCTCGCACGAGTATCTATAGCTATCTTCTTCTTGTCTTTTTCACTCCACTGATGAGGGAGCTTAGGAATCTATCGTTCAAAAATAGCGACAGTCGTAGCTGTTTCGAGAACAGCCGGAGATATAGCATATGGAACATAAAGTCCATTTTTTATATAATGTGGAATTTCAGGATCCACACCTTCTAGAAAGAGAGACATCTGATTCTTCCAGAGACTAAAGTTGTCTTTAATTAACCGAGAAGGTTTGTCAAGGGAGCCATTGTCGTGAAAGTTTGTGCTTGTGTTTTGCAAAGCCATTTGAAAAGCAGTAAAATTATCTAGAAAGAGAGATAATAAGATGCAGAAAATAACTAAACAATAAGAAAAGAAACACTGCTCTGATACCACTTGTTAGTCTCAGCCGGGTTTACAAGAGTTTTAGACGAACAATTTGTAGAGGGGGGTGAATACAAACACAGAAAACTTTCGTATTTTAAAAATATATATATATATATATTGATAAAGAAAGATCAATACACATTTTTGCAGATTGTATACGAAAATAGACAAGGTAAAGATAACCTATTTAAAACAATCTAAGTTTACACACATATATACTTAGCAAAATAGAAGAGATTTGCTGAAAGATAAAGACAGAAAGAAGTTCTTCTGGGTAAGAACTTTTGAGAATATTTGAGAGGGTTTCTAACTTGCTTGAAGATAAGCATAAGTGTTCTATTAGATGTGTGCGTATATGCTTGTTCACTACATGGAGAGAGCACTCATCTATTTATACCCATTGCATTAAATACAATTCAGAAGGGTTTGAACACGTGTCAAGCTTTTAAAGGAAAGCTTTTCCTTTGCTACAGTGAATAGTACAATTGCCTATTCATGAGCATACATCCTTTCGTGGAGTTGGTGGGCACTAGAGTCAACTAGTCGGCTTCGTACAGTAGTACACTCTAGAAAGGATATGGGTTTGTCCTTTGTGTGTGGAAGGACAAGACAAAAACAATCTTTCACAACAAGCTTCATTTGATCGCTGAATGCTGGAATAACATTGAAGGTTTCTTCAACATTCGCTCAGGCTTGGGCAGTCTTCACACATATGTTGACCAGCTTGTAATCAATGAAAACCGCTTCAGATCATGAACGCGCCAGTCTCTAATCTTCAATGTCAGTCTTCGACTTTCACTAAAGGTTCTTTGGTGTGAGTTTTATCTTCTTGAAGTATCGTTGTAGTTGTTGGATTTACAATACATGTTTCAGCAATCAATGAACAGACTTAGTGATGATCGTTGGAACTGAAAGAACAGAAACATAATACTTCGAAAGGAAAAAGGGATTATCATCAAATCAATGAGAGAGAGAATCAACACAATCTCTTCTGGAAATAATGGAGGGTAGTCCGACTTGGGGGGAACAAAAGTAGAGACCTCTAATGATTGATTCTCTAATTGTTTTGGTGGATTTTCAGTAACAAGGACCACTGATGTAGTCTCAGGTTTTGACTAAACCTGTTCACTTTCTTTTGGTATGGTCTCAGTTAATTCCTTACCACTCCTAAGTGTCACTACCTTTACATGTTCCATTCCTAAATCTCTAGGGACTTCCGTGTTACTAGGCAAAGTACCAAGGGCTCTATTGGTCTGATTTAGAGCAAGTTGAGCAAGTTGTCTGACTTGAGTTTCCAGATTTTTGTTGGGGCATTTTACTGATTAATGAGTGTTTGGGTCTGGTTTTGGAATCCTTTCATCACAGTCTTCAAAAAGGATGATGATTCAATCTGTCGAGGTGGCTTGTTTTGAAAAAATGGTTGAGCAGCTTGAAGGTTTTGGTAATGATGATTTTGAGAGTTAGAGTTGCTTGCATACTGTTGAGGTTGAAAATTAGAGGTTCTTTGTTGCTTATGAATGGGTGGATTCAAACTTGGATTGTTCTAAGAAATATTTGGGTGTTGTCTCCAACTAGCATTGTATATGTTAGAATAGGGGTTTGATCAATTATGAACATGATCGACAGATTCAAAATTATGAGAATAATATTCATACGAATGTTCCTCTCTACAACAAACATATTGCACTGAGATAACTACTAGAATAGGTGTAGTAACAGTTGGATGCACTTCTTGGCCCGTAGTTAGGTTTTTAAGCATGATGGCCATGGAAGTGAGTTGTACTATTAATGTAGTGGATGCATCAACCTCATGAATTCCAGCTGTCTTCTTTTGCGGTTGGGCATGTGGATTAGCCCAATGTCCATTGTTTGTAGAAATCTTTTCATGGATCTCATACCCTTAATTATAGGTATTAGTTGTAAAGGCCACACCTACAATCGCATCAAGCATTTGTTTAGCCATGGGACTTAAACCATTGTAGAATGTCTCGAGTTGAATGCAGTAAAATACCATGGTGATGGAATTTTCTTAACAACTCCTTAAACCTCTCACATGCATTAGGAACAACTTCATCATCCATTTGTTTAAAAAGACAGATTTTATTTCTGGATTTAGCGTTCTTGGTGGGTGGAAAATATTTTCGCAAAAACTTTTTGGCCATATTACTCCATGATGGCATAGAACCTGGTGTTAATGAAATAAACCAAGACTTTTTCGATCCCTTAAAAAAAAGGAAAAAAAATAAGTCTTAGAGCGTTATTAGACACTGCTGGGATAAAAAATGCATCAATTATTTCCATGAAAGAAAGATTTTAGATGTGAGTGAGGATCTTCTGATGGTAATCCTACAAATTGTCCATTTGTCTGCAACACATGGCACATGGTTGGTTTAAGTTAAAAATGGAGGGTAATCATATGAGGCTAACTATCCCTGAGTTTAATTGCTCAAAATCGGGAATAGTGTAGTCCATGGTTTCTTCCATTTTTAGAGTTTGCAAGATTAATTATATTTGGAGTTTGAACTCTTGGATGATCATTATTTTCAGATTCTATGTCATTATGTGCATCATCATAATGTGGTGGCCCTTGTTGAAAAGGATGTTCTGGTGGGTTTTGAAAAAGTGGTGCATTTGGTAGAAAAGGCTGAAATTGTGGTATTTGATCAAAGCCTAGTGGATTTTGAATCGGTACTTCTTCGCCAAATGGGGGAGGTAACGCCATATTAGGAGGGAGTAGAGCAAAAAATGCTCTTTGAGCCTTTCTTCTTTGGCGGAATGTTCTCTCAATATCTGGATCGAATTCGAGAAACTCCCCGCGGTGTATCCATGGCATACACCTCTTAAAGCGATTCAAACGGTGTTAAAAAAGTCAAATCTTTAAAGTTACTTTCAAAAAGACTTTTAGCTTGCCAATACCCGGCAGCGACACCAAAAACTTGACAGGTCTGTTTCACACACCCACAGACTTAGCAACCAGGACCAAAAGCAAGTATATAATTAGTCTCAATATCGTCTTTCAAGTAATAAAATGGTACAACTACCAGATATCGTCCACAAGGATTGTAGTAAAAGTTTAGTAAGATTAATATTAATAGAAGGCGAATTTGAAAACTTGATTCGATCAGAGTTAACAATACTAAAAATTAACAGGAAATAACATGCAAGAACAAAAATCCAGGGTGTTAGACTTAGGGTGAGATGTAAATAATATTTCAATAGACCAATGTTGTCAAAATGCTACAGCATGAAACCATGCTGACATATTACTATAACATGCAATTAGTAACAACTATTTTCACTATTATTTTGAGGGTATTCCTCTCAGACTTCACCATTGTATTGATATTATGGCTTTCAACCCATATTTCTATGAGGTATCCAGACCAGTGAAAGTGACAAATGGTCCTTAAAATATATGGATAGACAAATCTCTTTGTTAAAAATCACTCTCTCGAGTGGATTCCCATATCATTCAAGTTGATGTGTTCTAAATGACTCATCTCTTAGTTCATTCCACTTTAACACTTCAAAGTGATCAACCTGTTGAGAATTAACATTTTAGAAAATACGGATAACAAATCTCTTTATTAGCAACTCTCTCAATTCTACTTCCCATATCATCCAAATTGACATGCAATCAATGGATCAACTTAGAATCCATGGCACTTTAACACTTTTCAGTGATCAACTCGTCAAGAAGTGTCATTGGTTTTATAAAACTTGAAATGAAATAATGAAACATTGTTTTACATAAAAGGGTCTAACTTATTTGATTTACAAACTCACTCTTTCCGTCAAATTTAGTTACTCATAACTGAAAGTAAATGGAAAGAAATATAAATTGCAGTAAATAAAGGCATAAAATTAAGTAACAAAAAGTAAATGACGAAATATAAATAGCGGAATGTAAAGAGCGGAAAGCGTAATAAATAAATGACGGAAAGTAAAATGGCAAGAAAGAGTAATAAATAAATGATGGAATTTAAAGAGCGAGTAAAAAGCAATTAGAAGAAAACTTGGAAAAGAAGTTCACCAAACGTTTACTTGTATTTCTAGGGAGAGAAAATACTGCAAGTAGTAAGACAACTACTTTGAGATATTAAAGGGATTTGGAAAGGGATGATTCAAAATACTAACCCCAAGCCCTCTATTTATACTAAAATAGAGATGAGGGCAAAATAAACAATTAACATGTTTTTAGAGTAAAAGTACAACTAAAGTAAGTAGTTAGAGTCTAATTGTACCAAACTTAGCCAACAAGTTTCTAGCTAATTAAGATTATATAACGGGAAATACACAACAGGTTATTCATAAAGTCAGCTCTAATCATGTCATTAAGCTTCTAGTTCTCTCTCCTCCCTTTCTTCACATACTTGTAATGCTACAGCAGTCCCGCAACATCAAACAACTTCAATCTACCTAGAACAAGTTCATATTAGCCCACTATATAGTAAAAACAGGTAGATCATTTATTCTAGCTCCATAACAAAAAAGTGAAAAATAAGAGAATAAAGTGACTCAATGTTGGGATATAAATAGGAACATGTCATATCTAAAAGACGAGAAAAGAGTGTTTAAGCACTAAATAATTAGTGCGTATCATAGATCTTGTGGAATCCCATCAGAAATCGTGAAGTCAAGGTCCCAAGATAAACTAGATTTACGGGGATTCGTTCTTGTTGTAAATGATGCTGACAGTGAAGAGGGTGATAGAAGAGATAAGAGAGAGAGAGAGAGAGAGAGGGGGAGAGATTGACAACAGGCAGTGAAGGAGATCGCCAAAGAAACGGGGTTGGAGGCAGAATTGACGCCTTGCTTCTTGAGAGATGGGTATTAGATTTTAAGGTGGCTGAGTAATGCATCTGAATCAAACTCAGACTTCAGGGTTATACGGTTCTTTTTCTGTTTAAACATGTATGGATATAGTTGTCTGTATTGATATAGTTGTTTGTATGCTAAAATATAAGTTTTTGTTTGGTTGTTGTGCTGAATAACCAATCTAAATGCTAGAAATTACCATTTTATCCCTCAATCTAATTTTTTGTCTAGAGAAGGAATAGATTGAAAGAGAATTTGTGTTGTTTTCTATTTTACCTATCTTATTCAACAAATTTTAAAAACTAGTTCTAGGTGAACCCCAAAGCAAATCATCCATAACATGAACACAGTTCTGCAACTCAAGTTTTAGGTATAATTTTCGTACATAAGGATCTCAAATCCTTCAACTGTTCCTGGGCCACACAGATTTACAACTTAGCTTTTAGGTGAACCCCAAAGCAAAAAATAGAGGATGCTCGTTGATATCAAGCTCATCAAGGAACTCAATAGCTTCCTTCCTATGGTGTACACTTACAACCTGAAGGAATACCAACCAAAAAACGGAAGGCGACCTGAAGAAATAACAACCAAAATTGTAAATCAGATCTGTAAAAAGAAGGCAAAACCAAAAACATAAGGCATACTTGAAACATAAAAGAAATAATCAAAATATTTGTAATGGCTAGAAAGCAGACAATGAGATAAATCAAAATATCGGCATGGAGGATGGTCGGAGACCGAAGAAGCAGGAGAAATGAGATCGATGGAGGAAGAAGCAACGACCAATGATGGTGAGGAAGAAGCAACAGCCGACAATGGTAAGGAAGAAACAGGCTTGGACTAATGAAGAATAGAGAATGCAGATCAATAATGAAGACTTGGACTAGGAGAGCAAACATGATGAAGGAGAAAAATGAGATCGAGAGAAGCTGAGATTTTTGGGGTTCTAGAAATGTGAGGGGTAAACTTGGAATAAGGGGATGAATAGAAGGCTGAGTCCATAGAACTCTACTTTTTTTGGCTGAGCGATTAAGCCATCGACTGACCAAATAAGCCATAAACGAACAACAATGTATGGCCGACCGAATAAGCCATACCGGCTTAACAACCTATTAAGCCATTATCGAACACTCTCTTAAGCCTTTTGAAGTGTCCATACAAGGGATGGAAATGCATCCATTTCTCTGACCTGGCCCCCGTCCCCCGATCCCAACTAATCCCCGACAGGTTTAAGGTACCCGTTTAGTAAGAAAACAAAAAAAAATGTGTTTTAAAATTAAAAAATACAATGAATCATCACTAAATTATTTACCAATATTGAATATAAAAATTATATTTTATATAATTATATATATACACACACGTATATTTAATAAAATAAAGGTTCAATCGGGGGCGGGGGTGTTGTCCTTGACCCCGACCTTGCTTCGAATATGAAAATAAACCCCCATCCTCAACCCCTCACTCGCAAAAGTAGATAATCTTGCCTCGTTAGGGACCTATACATGTTCCCATAGGGTAAAATTTCATCTCTAGTCCATACTTGATCATTTTAGAAAACATATTGCTTTGTGAACCAGACTATACTTAGGCCTTCTAAAGTATCCATACTTACTCATTTTAGAAAACATGTTGCTTTCTGAACCAAACTTAAACTTAAGCCTTTTGAAGTGTCCAAACATTGTCATTTTCAGAAAGCATATTGTTGTTTGAACTGGACTTAGACTTAACATATTCATAAGGCATATAGTTTTCTACTTCTAGGGGTGGCTCCTTGACCCTTGCCATATGATGACATCTGACGACTCCAAATGCCAAAGTCTAACTAGCTTATACAAGTGTGCACTTCACACCTCCTAACTCATATTATAGTTTAACTACCAACCATTCATTCTAATATATTAACTATAGTTATCAAATACAACATAAAACACTAAAAAAGATGATTACAAGTTCAATGATTTATAGTATGGGTTTGTCTTCCATCATTGTTAATTATTCAAACTCAAATTTAAGTTTCGATATGCTATTATAGGCCTCATTTTTCCAGCAACGATGCATAAAACAAATCACAATGGCAGCATAATTAAGGGTTGTAAAATAATTACATTGCAAGAACAAATTCAATGGTAGCACGTGCCACCACACTGCTGAGGCACTACCGAAATAACTTAGGGCTAGCAGTAGGTAAGTATAAACTCGTTATCATTATGCTCCATCGATATAGAAAAGTTTTCTTTTATTTATCAATATATCATCCATTTACCTTACATTTTAAAGGGTAGAATATGAATGA